CGGCGCGGTTCCAGCAGCAAGCACGCGCGTTGAAATGGTACTACGACCTGAGGGCGCACGAACTCCACGAGTTCAACCGCACGGCGCGGAACAGCTGGCACCAAGCAGAACCATGGTGAGAGTGAAGAGACACTACTACTTCACAGACGCATCATTCCATGCATGCGCGCCTGGCACCTCAGCTTGGGTAGTGGTTCACCTACGAGAAGACGAACGCGGCGTAGCTTATTGCCAGCATGCATACTGGAACCACGCACTCGCGGTCTGCAAGGACATGGCCGACAGTGTGACATCCAGTGCAAGTCCCGAGCTGGAGGCTATCCTATGGGCGGTCGTCGTCAGCGTCCTGGAAGACGACGCTGAGGAGATCGTCATTGTTGGCGACAGCGCGGCGGCCCTAGGAACAGCGGCAGGAAAAACAAGAATACTATCCAAAAGAGTAGAGCACCGGCATGCTTCGTCAGGATCGTGGTGGAGCAGCTCAGCCACGGCAATGCGATAAGTTTCGAGCGCGCCAGCGCCCGCAGAGGTGCACCGTGGGCGAAGGCGGCAGGCATGCTGGCCAAACATGCAGCCCTGCAACCGCCTCCGCAGCTGCCAAGCTCGGCCCTGGTGGGGGTTATAGAGTACAACGCAGAGCTGGAGTGGGCCTGGATGGAGAATCCCACTTGTTGGGACGTCCACGCCTACTACCCGCGCTGAAGACGTGGGCGCTTCGAGGAGATGGTGAAACCCCGAGTCGCGAAGGTGGGCCGCATCTCAGACCTGACGGCGGACAGCTACAACAAAGGCTCCAGGAATACACATATATATATATATATCGCGAAGTACAGCGCCCAGTCGATGGTCGGAGACTTCGCCGAGACCGACATGCACCTGGACATCTCCACCAAGGGCGCTCTAGTGCGAGCACAACTCACGGAACGCAGCGTACACGTTGCAGGCTTGCAAGAAACGAGGTGCAAGGGGGCAACTTGGAGGACGGGGCAAGGGTTCATCAGCGTGCAGAACAGCTCCACGGACGGCAACTGGGAATGCGCGCTACTCGTGAATGCCGAGACACCCTGCGGGCAGCATTTAAGGGAGAGAGCTATACTTCAAGCGGTCCCAGGTGACGAGGCTGCACTCCGCGGCCAGGATGCTATTCGTGAGAATGCAAGCACCTCTCTTTCAGCATGGTATTTCAGTAGCGCGCGCCGCATCAAAAAGCGACAGACCTCAGTGGATGGTTGGGGGGGGGTTCCGGGGGCAGTGCGACGTTGATCTCTGCTTCGCTGCAGACGTGTCAAAGGTAGACCTATCCGAGAAACAACGCAGGATACTGGACTTCGACCGTGTGACCACTATGCGAATATAGGTGACCGCTGCAGCTAAGCAGGCTGTAGTTGTCAAGGAGGACGGCCTCCTCGCGAAGGCCGACATCCAGGCGAATCCAGTCAAGGTGTCTACAGCCTTGTATACTGAACTCAAGACATGGTTGGACAACAAGTGCTTCAACATACAAGATGTATCAAAGGCGCCCAACATCATGACTTCGAGACACGTATACAAGTGGAAATTTGTCAAAAGCGAAAAGGGCGACAGGGAACGTAACATTGGACTACGCTTGGCACTTCGAGGATTCATGGACCTCGAAGCCTTCGATGTGGAGACCTCCCCAGGAACGGTGCGGCGGTCAAGTCAGATATTACTCGCGAGCACGGCAGCGTGCAATTCGCAATGGGTCATGGCTTCCCTGGACATCAACATGGCGTTCCTTGAAGGGCGCACTTATCAGGGGCTTGCTGAAGCAGCCGGTGAAATGGAACGTGTGGTGTGTTTTACACACCCGCCTGGGTCAGTATCTGTGCTTGGATCCCTTCCAGGGTTTGAGCACTGCGATGAATCGACGCACTGCTTGCAGTGCCTCAGAACAGGCATCGGCACCAAGGGCGCGCCAAGAGCCTCCTCACGGAAGCTCAGATAGACCACGAGAGGGCTTGGTCTCAAACCCACGTCCCACGATGAGGTGTTCGAGACAAGGTCTAACCTTCTTGCAGCCAAACATCTTGATGACATTATCATGGCTGGTACTGGGGACACTATGGACAGGTGCGTCAAGTGCGTTGCGGGTATTTTTGGCGTGTTGTGAGGCGCGCTCATGTGCCAAGTGTGCTGTGAGGCACGCAAAGCATGTGGACGGTGGCGGTGCCCCTTATTAAAACGAAAATATACAACAGCTCCGTCCTGTACAACATCCTGAGCTCACTGGCGCAGACGCTGACGCCCAGGCATCAAAGATGGTCGCTGACATGTTCGCCGGCCTCAGAGGCGCCCTGGCATGCGCCCTCATCATGCAGATGTAGTTCATGGCATGCGTTGCATCTCTACAGCGTGCCCAAGAACCGACCGACGTGCAAGTGCGACGATTGAACGCGATTGCCAGACCGTTGCAGGCTTGCCCCTGGCAGATCGTCTACTAAGCGATGACTCCAACGGGTAAAGTCGACCTGCACAGCGACTCCGGTTACCGACGCCTGAGCGGAGATGCCGAAGACGAGGTCAAAGGCTAGGGTATTCGCGGGGCAAGCCTGCTACGGCGTGGACACGCATGCTGGCAAGCCCGTCGTCCATCTTGTCGACGCGAACTGCAAGTCTCACCGCTTGCAGGTCCGCTCGAGCTATTCAGCGGAGACACTTGCAGCGGCCCACATTTTTGGCGGACTGCTGTTCCACGATCGTCACTCTGCGCGAGCTCCACGCAGGGCCGCTGACACCCACTCAGTTAAAATATATACTTGAGATGGGCGGCCTTAGCATTAAGGTCACTTTGACAATCGATGCAGAATCTGTTTTCAAGTCCTTGTTAAGCAAAGATCCGAAGAAGCAGACTGAGTGTACACTTTTTGGGGCAAATCAGTTGGATGTGACAGATGATGGAGCGAGGTATCGTGCGTTGCGTGCATGGGTGTGACGCTCGCAACGTGACCGCGGATGGCCGCACCAAAGGAAGCATCGACAGAGACATGCTCTTACAGTCATGGGAGGAACGCAATCCGTCAAACATGACTTAAAACGACACACTTCATACAGGGGTGGCCAGACAAGATCGTCTGAGCCGCCTGAGGAGCAATCGTCTGCAAGGTGACTTGCCCGCGAGGCAACTTGCTTGCAAGGGTACTTGCGTGCGGGCCACCCTTCCCTGTTGAACCCGCCTGCTGCTGCCTGCATTGTGTATATCGTTTTTTACAGTATAGCGGGCGGCGGACTCACGCTTCGTCTCCTCCCCCCCCGACTGTAAAGGATGCTGGGGCAAAGGCGAGAGATGGCAAGCGTTTGTCCACGGCCGTTTGTGTTCAAGCGGCCGGCCGCCAACATATGACTGCGCCTTATCGCGAGGCACACTACCTGCCATCGAGACCAAAAACATCATCGCTTGACATGGCCCGTCGTTCCCGCGACTTTCTCCTACTTCTGGAAGTAACGGTACTACGGTACAACAAAGTTGGATATGGGCTTCGCCTTAGGCGGAGCTTCTGGTGGGGTCTCCCAGCCCCCTTCAAACTTCTTGGGGTCCAGAAGACCGCCTTGAGGAACTCCAGCATCCTTGAGCCCACTTTGGGGTGTTTTTTTTTTTTTTTTTTTTTTTTTTTTTTTTTTTGTTTTTTGTTTTTTTCTCGTAAGGGAATTCCCAGGGGCGGCCCCGCGCGCGTGAACCAGAAATGCTCTCAACGTGTCACCGGAGATCTTAGCACGCGTTTTGGCCCACTGGCTTGGCGAAGTGACTATTACCAGCCAGCGCTCGTAATGGCCAAGGGGAAGCTTTTCAACGTTGGGATGGATTTTCACTTAGTGGATTCTTTTTCAGAGGCTTGACCCCTGAGAGCCTATTGCCCCAGTTACGCAAGGAAAGATGGGGATCCGATTTGGTGTCAACCAACTTCTGGTAGTCCACATGAAGGAATTAACCCGGATGACGCTTGTTTGCGTCGACGAGTCTGACATTCCCATCTTATGCAACACAGTGCCTGGGGCCGATGCCACCAGACTCCCTTCGGACTCCATCTTGGCAGCTCCCCATCCAGCTCTGTCATGCTGTCGAGGCCTGCGCTTCAGACGTGACCCATTCGCAAGAAACTCTCCCAATCATACTTTTCCGGAGGCCCCAGGAATTGCAGACCAGAGTTCAAGAAACTTACGGCCCAGATCAAGGGTACCCATGATCAGAGTGACAGGGGCCGTCTGGAGCCCCAGGAACAGCGGTCAATTCCTGGAAGAGCCCTCAAGAAAAATCGGGCTGATGTTCGAGAGCATCTCGTCCCGCAAGCGCCAAGAGCACTGACGATGCGCAAGTGTATCACGGTGCGCACGGAATTTGCACAAAAGTTCCACGTCATATCCTGTCTGTGAAAGCCGATCAATTGTCCAATTCGTTTGGGACATGAAAGACGTGAATCTGCCCTTCTGACTTGCTGGCAATGAGACGGCCTAAAATGAAGCGTGCGGCGGCATCTGCATGTATTGATGCATGTACACGCATCCCCACCGGCAGGCCCAACTTAGACCCAGCATGCTCACTTATGTTGCCCATCCATGCCTCCTCCGGTGAATCCCTGACGAGACGGGGTGAGGTAGCTGTGAGGTGAGGGCAATGATGGTGTCACGAGGTAGCATGAATTGAGAAGGCCCATTGAAAGAGGAGGACCAGGGTGAGGGGAGGAGGGAGGGCTGGGAGGATGAGACGAGGGGTGGGGGGGTAGGAAGGCGTTGAGAATAGCCAGGGGAGGGGCCAGCTGAACTTGGATGGCTGTGACGAGGTCCCCAGCAGCTCCAGAAGCACCCCCCAGCGAAAGTCTTTGTCTCGCTAGCAATCCTCGCGTACGCTCGCGGGATCTAAAACCTCTCTTCCTTCTCCGTTTCATGTTTCGATTCATAAGTTCAAGTGCCCAACTCGCGCTAGCGTTGCACGGTAGCACCGCGTGTGACCGTGTCTGTCGCGGCTAACAGTAGTGCTCTCGCAGGAGAAGGCCTTCCTGCGGAAGGCCGTGCGAGCAAACCGCGTCCTGGGGCCCCTGGTGTGCAACCTGGCCGAGGATGCGCTCGACGGGCTCGTCCGCAGCGCGCAGAAGCAATCCTTCGCCCGAGGTTCGCAGATCATCAAGCAGGGGCAGACCGACGTGGAGTTCTTCTACGTCATAGAGCAGGGGTCGGTCGCCGTCCTGAAGGACCGCGAGCTCGTCCAGGCGCTCGGGGCCGGAGACTCCTTTGGCGAGCGGGCCATCGTCTACCGGGAGCCGCGCATGACGACGGTGAAGGCCCTCTCCGACGCCACGATCTGGACGGTCCCCAGGCTCGGAGGGCCCCAGGTACACACCCTCGCCGATCCGTGCAGGGCCACCCTGGGCCCGGGACAGGGGAGGAGGAGGAGGAGGAGGAGGAGGAGGAGGATGGAGGAGGAGGAGGAGGAGGAGGAGGAGGAGGCGGAGGAGGAGGAGGAGGAGGAGGAGGGAGGAGGAGGAGGAGGAGGAGGGGAGGAGGAGGAGGAGGGGAGGAGGAGGAGGAGGAGGTAGGAGGAGGAGGAGGTGGAGGAGGTGGAGGAGGAGGGAGGAGAGGCGGAGGAGGGAGGAGGAGGAGGCGGGGAGGAGGAGGTGGAGGAGGAGGAGGAAGAAAAGGAG